ATGATGATGAATATGATGCCAAGTCTTAAAACTTCCTTCTCAAAGCCTAATAAAATGAGTAACTATGAATAAAAGGGAAAGCTGGGGGCCTTATAATTCTAGCTGAGATGGAGTAAGGACACTGCAGGCTTACTCTCCCTTGATTACAACAAATCGTCTGGATCAAAGTACAAAAAGCAGATACCTAAGGCCCCTGAAAAGTGTATACAGTAATAGCAGGTGAATTTGGGGAGAGAAAACAGTAATTAATGAATAACCAATATGGTAACAGTGAGTTTCATGGTTATTTTTCCTCTTCATACTCTGGGTTTGACCCAAGGGCAGGCTAAACAGGGGAACTGTCTATTGACAGGGTCAACAAAGAGACAGAAGCCCATCTCTGTGGCCTGAGCACCAGCTTAAAGAAAGGCCCCTATAAGCTGAAGAGCATGGGGGAGAATCCTTGTTTGTTTTAGTTTCTGTTTACTTTCGGGTCCTGCCCTGAGGCCAGCCCCAATTGTGAAACAACTTTACTGTGGTCTGAGCAGTGTTGCAGACACCTAAAAACTGTGAGATAAAATCTGTCCCTAAGGAAAGGGAACCTTTGTGTGAAGAGGGGGGGGAAATTTTTTGGTCTTCTACTTCTATATCTTGAGGACCTGCTTGCACAGAATTGTTCAGATGCACAGGGAGCTAAAACTGAGAGAATCCCATATTCCTGACTAGAAGAACTGTGAAAAGGAGCCCTTGAGAGACGAGTGTGGGAGCAATGACGTGCACGAGAGATCAGGCAGAGCTTGTTGTCTGAAGCTAACTGGGTGGTTTGCTTGCTGAAACAAAAGGCAACATTCCTCAGAGACTTAACAGGACCCAGTCTCCTGACAATATTAAAAATGTCCAGCTATAATCCAGTATTAGTCAACCAGGAAAGACTGACCAATTCTCAAGAGAAAAGGTAATCAAGTAGATGCCAACCCCCAAATTACCTAGATTTGGGGGTAAAAACTTGAAAGCAGCTAGTGCAGGCATGCTCCATAAAGGTGAACACTGTTGAGATGAATAGAAAGTAATTCTTAGCATAGTTATATGTAAAAAGAACTAAATGAAAATTTTAGAAATGACAAAGTAGGATATGTGAAATAAAATTCATTGGCTGGCCTCAATAACAGAATGGCTTTGTCAGAGGAAAGGGCCCGTGAGCTTGAAGATAATTCCGTGAATTAGTTCCAACTGAGAACAAAGAGGAAAAAGTAAAATAAGCCTCCTGTTTGCTTTTTGTTTTTTAAACATATTTTATTGATTTCAGAGAGAAAGGAAGAGGGAGAGAGAGAGAGAGAAACATCAGTGATGAGAGAGAATCATTGATTGGCTGCCTCCTGCACGCCCCTCACTGGGGATGGAGCCTGCAACCCAGGTACATGCCCTTTACCAGGATTGAACCTGGGACCCTTCAGTCCACAGGCCAACACTCTATCCACTGAGTCAAACCAGCTAGGACAGCCTCCTATTTTTAAAAGCTCTTTTGCTGGGCATAGCATTCTGGATTGACAGGTTTGTCTGCTTTCTTTCACTCCTGTAAAGTTGTATTGATTGTTCTAGGGATCATTCTAGTATCATTTCCCTTCAGTCTGAAATACTTAATTTAATATTTCCTTAGAAATATTTCATTTAATTGTGACGAATACTCTTCGTTTACCTTCATCTGAGGAAGTCTTTATTTCACTTTCACTCCTAAAAAATATTTTTAGTAGCTATGGAATTCTGGGTTGTCAGTTTCTTTTGTTTTAGCATTAAAAAGTTGGTGTCCCATTCATTGTCTTCTGACATCTGTGTTTCCTGATGAAAAATCTACAGTATTTTCAGATAAGTTCCCCTATTTGTAATGTGTCATTTTTTCCTACTGCGTTCAAGAGTTTTCCTTTATTTTTGGTTTTCAGCAGTTTTGTTAGGTACTTGGGTGTGGAATTCTTTGAGTTTGTTTTGTATATGATTCACTAAGTTGCTTGAAACTAGAAAGTTATGTCTTTCTCCAAATTTAGAAGTTTTCAAACATTATTTATTCAAAAAGTTTATTTTTGGCACCAATCTCCTTTCTCCTCTTCTTCAGGTATTCCAATGACATTGATGTATTCCCATAGGACATAAAATTAACATACAAAAATCAGTAGCCTTCATGTAAACAAGCAACACACAGAACCTCACTACAACAACACATAAGATTAAACACTTAGGAATAATTTTGACAATAAATGCACAAAACTTATATGAAGTAAAAAAAATTTAAGCCCTGAAAGACTCAAAGTATATTTGAACAAATGTAAAGATACCTGCTGTTTTTGAATAGGTCAACATTATAAAGATTTTAATCCTCCCTAAATTAATTTGTAAATTCAGTGTAATCCCAGTAAAAAAAAAAAAAAAGGCCTCTATTATGGATTTAGAAAATTTGATACTAAAATTCATGTGGAAAAGCAAGCAGGTTGGAGATAACTGGAAAAGGAAAACCATGGGGGAGGGATTACTTCTCCCAGCCTGTAAACATTAAGGCCTGTAAAGTTAAAACTGTGGTGGTACTGACACATGAATAGACAAATACACCAATGGAATAAAACATGTGATGACTGTAACGTTTCACCTCTGCCATGCTGATCTGCATTTTCCAGAATTCTCTGATACAAATGGAAAGTACAGAATTAAACCCAAATATACGTGGAAATTTAGTATTTGACAAAGGTGGCCTCTCTCTCTCTACTCACTGGGGTAAACTTGTATTTTTCAATACATGATTCTGGGACAACTGAATAGCCGCTTGGAAAAGTTAAAATCAGATCCATATTTTACATCATACACATGAATAAGCTCTAAATGGATAAGGAATATAAATAAAAAAGTAAAACCATGCAAGTACTAGAAGAAAACATGAGTGTATTCCTCTTTAATGATAGTGTAGGGCAATGGTCGGCAAACTGCGGCTCGCGAGCCACATGCGGCTCTTTGGCCCCTTGAGTGTGGCTCTTACACAAAATACCGACTTCTGCGCATGGGCCACGAAGTTTCAGTCGCACTGTACGTGCGCGCCCGCACGTGGTATTTTGTGGGAGAGCCACACTCAAGGGGCCAAAGAGCCGCATGTGGTTCGCGAGCCGCAGTTTGCCAACCACTGGTGTAGGGAAAGGCTTTGTTAATTATGACTAAAATTCCAGGAACAATGAAAGAAAAGACTGATAAATTTGATTATATAATTTTTTTAAAATTACATGGGAAACCACTGTAAAATATAGGACGAATAAGGGGCTTGCATTAGTCCAAGTTGTGGTACCCAGTTATTCTTAATTTATTGCCATGGTGTTCTATACGACATTGCCATGTATTTCATGGCAGAAGCGGCATGACAGTGGCTCAAGACTAGCAGATCCAATAGTTTTACCATGTTCTGCTTCTAGGAGCAGACACCCCAGTGCAGTGATGGGATAGCCTACTGAATACTCACTGAGGTAGTAGGCTGCAGATAGGACCCTGTTAGGTTGGGGAATTCTCTTCCAGGATGCAGGCCAGGCTATGGTACTGTCACCAATAGATACATTTGGTTACTTAAAAATATATAGATATCTAAAATTAAAAAATAATCTGCCAATCGGAAAGATTCTCAAGTTATGTTATTAAGTAAAAAAGGAAGGTACCAGAAGAGTGGGGACCCCATTAGCATGCATTTTAATAAGTCTCTGTGGTTTTCCATATATTTTTAAAACTGTGGTACTATAGGCTAGGGTGCATGAGGGAAGACTTAGACTTGATATTTTTTACCTTTATGAATATTTTGAAAGTGTATCTGTTACATAAATGAAATACTTTTATAATTGAAAAAAGAATGAAATTGAAGGACTAACAGTTATTCACAACTCTCTTCTTGGTGTCCTAATGGAGTACGTTGGAGGTGTGGCCATGAGGGGAGCTGAGCGAGGGAGATGGGTAGTCATGTTAGGGGTAGTGTCAGTGCACGAGGATGAGTGAAGGAAGGGTAATAGGGTGAATAACATAAAGGCCAAACATCTCTTTAAAGTATAAACATAGAATTTAGTAGCTCAGTCCACACTACTCTGGCCTGTTTTTGAAATGAGGCAGAAAAGTCTAAAGTCATTGACAATTGTTATTTTATAAAGCCATGGCTGGAGAGAGTGACCTCATCATTTCAGTCAGTTCAATTACTTTTTTAAGTTTTTAATTTATTGATTTGAGAGAGAGAGAAATAAAAGAAACATTGATTTGTTGTTCCACTTGTTTGTACATTCATTGGTCAGTTCTTGTATGTGCCCTGACCAGATATTAAACCTGCATCCTTCATGTATCAGGACTATTCTCTAACTGAGCTACCCACTGTGTCAGTGTCCCCTCTGCCATGTGAGGGCCAGTGTCTTTTAAAGAGTTACGTCTGATAATGGTGGGTTTTTAGGATTTGGGGAGATTTCAGCCCAGGGCTCTGAATAATATCTCATCTTTATTTTTTATTTAAAAAATATTTTTATTGATTTCAGAGAGGAAGGGAGAGGGAGAGAGAGACAGAAACATCAATACCAATGATGAGAGAGAATCATTGGTTGGCTGCCTACTGCATGCCCCAACCTGGGGATCGAGCCTGCAATCTGGGCATATGCCTTGACCAGGAATCAAACCGTGACCTCCTGGTTCATAGGTCAGTGCTGAACCACTGAGCCACGCCGGCTGAGCATCTTTATTATTTTTATGCCAATTGTCAATATCTAAAATATGGTTTATGTGGTTATTATCTCTCTGTTACTGCTAGAATATAAGCTCCATGAAGGCAAAGACTTTGTTTAGCTCGCTGCTGTCTTCTACCCAATAATTTAATGTTTATCCAAAGAAGACACTCAATAAATATTTGTTCAATCAATAGCTGTGTTGAGATAGTTATGGGGTTAAGTGGAATTAGCTAAGGCTGGACTCCACAAGAGGGAAGACTTGACTCTAATTGATTTCACAGTAACTAATTTCATTTTTCTTAGTCTCACCAAGGACATGACAGGAAAGGAAGATGTGTACCGGGGCCCGGCCATCAGGGCTCTCTGCAGAATCACTGATGTAAGTTCTTGTTTTGCTGGGGTGTTGAGCGGGAGGGCGAGGGAGGGGGGCGGTGTGTGGTGGTGGTGTCACTGTTTATCTGCAGGAGGCCATGTAATTGAGTAGGATTCCCTAGTCTGGCTCTGTGAATCTTCAGTACAGGCACACCACCTCGTTTTACTGTGCTTCACAGATACTGCATTTTTTTTTTTAGACATAATGCTATTCTTACACACTTAATGACTACAGTATAATGTAAACATAACTTTTATATACTCTGGGAAACCAAAAGAATTCATGTGACTTGCTTTATTGTGATACTTGCATTATTGCATGGCCTGGAACCTGCAGTATCTCTGAGATATGTCTGTGTAAGAGAAACAGGACCACCAGAAAGGCTTTTGTGGTTCCAGGCTTCTTTTCTTTCAAATGTTTTTTTCCTTTTGTTTATTTAGAGTAGTCTATTTCTTTCTCTGTTTGCCCTCATAGACTTTTGTTATAGCCAGGGCACATTGCTTACAGGAAACAAAAAAAAAAAAACATTTGAATTTAGCTTTAAAAAGAAGTGTTCTTACAAAATATAGAGCGCTCAGAATTTGAGGTACAACTTAGAACCAGAAGCCAGCGCAAGAAAGGAACCCAGCGGCAAGATTTCTTAGATACTCACTGTTATGATCCATCATTTGCCAGACTCAAGCCTCGTCATTCAAATAGTTCAGGAAGACAACCTGGTTAGTCATCAGCCAGCCTAGTAGCTTGTATACACCTGTATCTGACTCAGTCTGTTACATCTGGAGAGATGAGGGTACATAGTGTGCTAGGATGTCCATTTCTTGGAACTGTGAGTAGGAAAGGTTAAAATGGAGGGCAGGCTGGGCATTGATAAACAAATTAAATAATATTCCAGGTATACTAATGCATGGGTAGATGTTTGTAATCCTCTCAAGTTTTAAAACTTGAGCAGGATCAAATGGTAAATCTGGATTCTAGAAGGAATAATAGAAATGCTTTAATATTTTAATAAAACAGTTACTCAGCTATTTTATTGTGGTTATTTTTGTTTTTAGCATTAAGTGGGTGACATAAGACTTGATGATACCAGTGCTAGCAAAAGGACTCTCTTCTAAAAATCTCTTTCAGTCTGTTTATATATCTTCATGGGCCAGCACCTTTCCAGTGCTAAGCTTTCTTCCAGTTAAATTAAAAAGAACTTTATTTTCAGAGGATTTTGTATTGAGAGTTCACTATAGTGGTATATCAAACATTTAATTATGTAAATAAAATAATCAGATTACACTTGACTTGTAAGACTCTCTGGGATCCATATAAAATAGATCCCCTTCACATACAGCAGTGGTTCTCAACCTTCTGGCCCTTTTAATACAGTTCCTCATGTTGTGACCCAACCATAAAATTTTTTTCGTTGCTACTTCATAACTGTAATGTTGCTACTGTTATGAATCGTAATGTAAATATCTGATGTGCAGGATGGTCTTAGGCGACCCCTGTGAAAGGGTCGTTCGACCCCCAAAGGGGTCGCGACCCACAGGTTGAGAACTGCTGATATAGAGGAATTTTCAGGACTTCAAAAGCACCTTTCGTCCTCATCTAGGAGTTTCCTTTACAACATCCTTGGTAGGTTGAACCCTGCTTATGTGTTTCCTCAAATCGGAGCTCTCCACTTTGAGACAGTTTATTTCATTGTTGAATAGTTATTTGTCTTCCTTACATATAGATGTCCCTCCTTGAAGCTCCCACTGGGTTGGCTGGGTTCTGCTGGATGGGCTATGATTACTCTATTATATACTAATCCTTTTTAATGCAGTCTAAGTATTTACACAGAAACTAATATATGACTGGTTTTCGTAAATTATTTTGAAGTGGTAATATAGTGTGAAAATGTTTTGCTTCAACAACTTTTCTCTCTGAATTTTATTAGGGAACATTGCTGCAGGCCATTGAAAGATACATGAAGCAGGCCATTGTGGATAGAGTCCCCAGTGTATCCAGCTCAGCACTGGTGTCTTCCTTAGTAAGTGAGCAAGACAGTGGCTGCCTAGTTCTTACGCATGGTTCAGTTTCTAGTTGCAAAAGCGAAGTGATTCTCTCACAAGTGAAACATTAAAAAAATATGTGTATATCTCTATTGTTTTATCCAAGAATGTTTTGTCTGCCAGGGGAGTATTGAGCAATTAAAATGGGCAGTTAAAAACATGAAATTGTCATGGGCTTGTAAGGTTTTGGTAATCAGAAAGTTTTGTTTTACACATAATAAAGATGGGCGGTATGGGTCAGGGAAAGACAGGGAAGAAACTGAGGGTTGATCTCTCTTATTTTTTTTAAAAAAAGTATTTATTTATTTTAAGTGGGGAGGGGGGGGAGAGAGAGAGAGAGAGAGAGAGAGAGAGAAATTTGAACCTGCAACCTTGGCCTAGAATATGATGCTCTAACCCACTGAGCTACCCAGTCAAGGCTCTCAATCTCTTTTTTTTTTTAAATCTTCTGTTATGACCTGCACTTTTACCTCTTGCCTCTTGGTTCTCTGCTTTCCTTCACAGTGTCCTTCAATCCAAAGTCTCCTGTCCCACTTCAAAAATTTTCTCCCAGGAAGTAGCCTGTTCTTTTTCTTTTTTATCAAAACAAAATTTATTACTTACAATCTATCACACTGCATTTAATTAACATTGATTACTAATGTGTAAATGGATTTAATCATCTGAATCACAGGAGTTACCTGGTTCTGGAATATAATTGACCAAGAGAATATAGTGGCTCTCTGGTTTTTTCTTCTAGGTGAGTTTCCTAGAAGTAGAACTTATAATGTTAACATTATTTAAGTACTATCCATCCCTTCCTGTCCCTCCCCTCTCCTTACTTCCTTTTACACATCTCTCTGGGCCCACAGGCATATGTTACTCACCTTTCTAGGGAATCTTGGAGAAAGTACTTTTGGTTTTATTACTTGCCTCAGGAGTAGAGATTTGAAATAGACTTATGAAGCTACAAAGTTGTTTCTTTTCTTTTTTTTAAATGTCTTTTGGAAAAGGAACTCATGCTTCTAAACTTCCAGTGACCTTGCCTTATCTATTCTCATTTTTTTCTGCCCTTAGCACCTGATGAAGATAAGCTATGATGTAGTTAAGCGCTGGGTCAATGAAGCCCAAGAAGCTGCTACAAGTGACAATATTATGGTCCAGGTATGGATATTGAATTATTTTAGCTTCTGTCTCAAGATCAGCTTTCTTTAACCCTACATTGCAAGGGCAATTTATTGATTCCAAAAAATGAGTATTAGCTAAAGGCTAATATTAAGCAGCCTGTAGTGCATATTCTCAAGTAGGTATCCCACTAATTATGATTACTACCATAGGCCCTGCTAGTGTTCAATTGGAGCTGTAAGAAGGTTAGAGAAAGCTTCTTATATTCAGTAGCAGTTTGAAAGGCTCATTCCAAAGGTCCTTCACAGTGCATTTCAATCCTTTATTTGAAAAATAAATTGTGAAGAAGGATGTTCAATTCCAGGCTTTTCAGGCCTTGATTATAGTAAACATTATAACAACAGTAAAGAGTAATTTTTACATTGTGAAACTTTAGTACCATTTTGTTGGAAATATCTCCTTTTGATATTCATTAGGCTGTTCCTAATTAAAAGGAACAAGGTTAAATCCTTAACTGGCAATTTTATGTAAAGTACCCCATTTGTGTTTGAGAGGGTACTTATTTATCCCCTTTCTGTGTTTATAACTTCTCATATTATTAGCATACTCAGTTATGAGGAAACACAGTAGTTATTTTTCTCATGGGAAATATTCTCACTCTCCTAATTCCATTATTGTGCCTTTACACAAAGTGCCGTGATAATATTCGTGCACTCCTAAAGCCTTCTTCAGGAGATGTGATCCCTTAACTTCTGACATGGTCACAGGTGATTTAAAGCCACTCGAAGGCCTGCCACACTGGTAAAGCCATGGACCTGACACCTTTGTACTAAGGATGAGTGGGGCAAGGCTGACCTGCCAGATGTACCCTCAGATTGTATGTTACCTTCTTAAGACTTCTCCAATCTAAATTTACACTTTCTGGGGATAAATTTGAAACTCCTATCCTTTCAGTCTTTCCTGTGTTTGATTCAAAGTGAAAAAGCTATACTATCTGTATACTTTTGACCTGAGAATCTTTTGATTAAAAATCTAGTTCCATACGATTCTACTTTCATGTAATTTTGTCTTCTTCCTACTCAGTTTCATGTACGATTCTACTTTCATGTAATTTTGTCTTCTTCCTACTTAGTTTTATGTATGTTACATTCTTTTTCTTATTCTTTAGTACCATGCATTGGGAGTCCTGTATCACCTTAAAAAGAATGATCGCCTTGCTGTTTCTAAGATGTTAAATAAGTTTACAAAATCCGGTCTCAAATCACAATTTGCTTACTGCATGCTGATCCGAATTGCCAGTCGCTTACTAAAAGAAAATGAAGAGGGGTAAGTGTCTTCATCTAAACTTAAGTAATTTTTCCTTTGCTGGTAAATATGCCTCAGAATTTATTTCCTTAATGAATATTTTTTGGGCATTGCTGACTTTACAGATTTTATATTTTCTGGATTAAAAAAAATCATGGAATTCCAAGTAAAACAACTTCTAAAAAAATTTAATATATGCTCTGGTATATGTATTTAATAGATTATGATTATTAATAGTATAATAACACATTGACCCGAAACAAAAAATCCTTAAATGTGGAAACTGGAAGTAACATTAAGAATCTTTTTTATCCTTTTTATTTTTATAAAAGAGACTATTGAAGTATTGTATTTCATTATTTATTTAAATTATTTAAAGGGCAAGAGGGAGAAAAATAGAATTACATATGTAAGGTTCTTATATTTTTCATGAAGCGGTATTATTTGATGGTAGTCTGTGGTAATATAAGGATAAGTACTGTGATCTCTTGAGTACCCACTAAAAACACCTGAAAGATATAAGGTAAATGTTAACAGAGAAGATAAAATAGAATATCCAAAAATATTCAGTAGAGCTTCCTACAGTGGTGGAGTAGCTTGGTCATATTAGCCCTCTTGCAAATAATGATTATATAATCAGTATAAAACTATTACCCCCCCCCAAAAAAAAAAAAAACAAAAACAAAAACAAAACAACAAACACACGAAAAAACAAGAAACCCCACAACTATTTGGAAGTACTGGTGATTCGTGAAAAGGAGGCAAAAACTGGAGGGAAGTTGATGCCTGGACAGCCGAAGCTACACTGGGTGAGATTTGGGTATTTCTGGGTAGTCTCCTAGGGCAGTTCCCAATTCCCAGGTGGGATCACAGGAAGATATAGTATTTACTGGACAGAGGGGTCAGAACACAGTTTGAGATTAGAAGAGTGATGAAAACTTAGGGTGGAAAACCTGGAAAGGAGGGAACCACAAATGGGTGAGCCTCAAAATCAATTTTAATCTACAAAAATCCTTGGTTGGCCCATGAACTGTGCACATACAGGGGAAGACTGTAGGAAACCTGGTGAACAGTAGTAGCTCTGAGCTGAAAGAACTCAGTGGAGAATTCAGTTGCAGCTCACTCTGGAGGAAATAAAGTTTGGAGTTTGAGCCAGGTTGACTGCCTGGTAGAGAAACATCATGCATTCTGGAGTCTTTACCTCGTGTCGTTCAGTGTCTGTAGTCATGTCCCACACAATGCTGTTTTGGTCAATGATGGACCAGATACGATGGATTATAATAAAGCTGAAAATTTCCTATTGCCTAGTGATGTAGCTGTCATCATGTGATAGCGCCACACATTACTTGCATGCTTGTGGTGATGCTGATGTAAACAAACCTACTACATTGCCAGTCATGTAAAAGTATAGCACATACAGTTATGTACAGCGCCTATTATTTGACAATGATATTAAACAGCTATGTTACTGGTTCATGTACTTACTAGACTTTTTATTGTTAGTTTTGGAGGCACTCTTTCTACTTATAAAGAAGTAAGTTTGCAGTAAAACAGTATGTTATGTTATGCAGCAGCAGCTCATTTTTATGGGTCTCTTGATTGTATTATTTTCTCTTGTGCTTGATTTAATTTGATGTTATTTTGTTCATCATGGCCGCTAAGCATACAGAATCCACTACTATTGTTGCCAGTAAGACGTTATGTTGAGTGGTTGACCTAGAAATGACATTGAAAGTGATTGAAGATGTGAAGGTGGGAAGTCAGTGATGGTTATTGCTCATCCGTCAGGCATGTCCCATCTATATAATAAAAGCCCAGCAACCATTAAGATGGAATGACCAGAACGACCGGTCGACCAGTTGCTATGATGCTCATTGACCACCAGGGGTCGGGCGCTCAATGCAGGAGGAGGGGAGGGAGGTGCAATGAGGCCTGGAGGTGCATGCTATCGCCCAGGGATCCCAGGAACTGCAAGCCCGGAGCTTGCTTTCCAATAAAAAATAAACTGAAAAAACAAACAAAAAAACGGCCCAATGCCACCACCCTGGGAAGAACGGCTCCAGGAGGGAAAGGCTTCCCCAGACCCCACCTAGCCTAGCTGGTGTGTCGCGGGCTCGCAAGGACTCACCTGTGACATGCAGGAAGAGCAGCCCCTCTGACTCCGAAGCCAGTCGCACCAACAGCTGCTCCCTGCCCAGCTACACGGTGAACTCAGCGCTGCTGGGCTGCCTCGGCTCTAACTTCCAGCTTCTGGCTTCCTGCCTGCCCCTTTGTATACTACATGTGTTTGGAGGCGTGGCTTCAGCCTCCCCGGCCAATAGTGCCACAGCACAGCCAGAGAGTGGCAGGTCATGGCCAGCAGGGCTACCTGGGCATTGATTTGGCCTCTGACTGACATCCATGTGCAGTTACACTGTGTGTTTATATTTGTAGGGAAGCAGGGCAGCCCACTTCTGCCACTCGCCTCACCTTCTAGGTTAAGAAAGGCTGGCTGATCTCCGTGTTTCTCCTATCCAGAATCAAAACCTCTTGGGGATGAATGATCCCAGCAATGGCTCCACCACACACTTGGTGTGACTGTCACAGACATTCCCAGTCATTACAGCCCATTCCTCAGCCCCCAGTGCCTGCTCCACCCACTGCCACTCCTCACCTGTCACTTCCTGAAGACTACCTGATGTTATCCTATTAGAAATGTGAGCAAGATCTCAAATGCCCCCCTGGCAATAGCTCCCTTGCCTTACCTTTCTTCCTCTAAAAACCTTGCATTTTAAAAATATATATTTGGTTGATTTCAGAGAGGGAAATAGAGATAGGAACATCAATGATGACAGAGAATCATTGATTGCCTGCCTCCTGCACGTTCCAAAGTGGGGATCGAAACCTCCCCCGGTCCCTCCTCCCATCCCTCCCCTGGCCAGCAGGCCCCCGGTGGCGCTGTGGCACCAAGGGAAGGAGGAGGGGGGAGGCTGGGAACCGCAGGGTGGTGGGGTGCTGAGGGCAGTGTCGGAGTCTGGCGTCTGTTCCTTCTGCGCCCGGCCCAGCAGTAGTAACCTCCTCTCCTGACCCCGCCGGGGCCTTTGGGCCCCAATCAGCCTGGTCCTGATCGCCTGCCAGGTCTAGGTACCCCACCCGTGCATGAATTTCGTGCACCAGGCCTCTAGTCCTATATAATAAAAGCCTAATATGCAAATCAACCAAACGGCGGAATGACCAGTGGTTGCTATGATGCACACTGACCACCAGGAGGCAGACACTCAATGCAGGAGCTGCCCCCAGCCTGCAGGCCTGAGGCCAGCCAAGGCGGTTGCCAATGGGGGCCCCCCAATTGCCCTTCCAGTTGCCCCAAAGAGGGAGGCAACTGGCGGTGGGGGAGAGGCCGGCGAGTGGCCAGCTCCAGGCCGGCTAAGGCTGGTGCCAGTGGGGGCCCCACAATCGCCCCACCAGTCACCCCACAGATCAGCCTTCATTGTCAGCCAGGTCTAGGGTCCCTACCCATGCATGAATTTTGTACATCGGGCCTCTAGTTCCACTATAAGAAGAACAAGAACAGTGTCTTGGCTGGTTTGGCTCAGTGGATAGAGTGTCGGCATGCAGACTGAAGGGTCGTGGGTTCATTTCAGGTCAAGGGCACATACCTCAGTTGCAGGCTCAGTCCCTGGCTTCAGTCAGGGCACGTGTGGAAGGCAACCAATTGATGTGTCTCACATTGATGTTTATCTCTCTGTCTTTCCCTCTCCCTTCCACTCTCTGTAAAAATCAATGGAAGTGTATCCTTGGGTAAGGATTAACAAAAAAACAAAAAACAAGAACAGTGACAGACGCTGTTAAATGATTTGCTTTATTGAAGGCAATGGGAATAACAAAAAATGTCAGATGTGGAGAAACTTCTAATGACCTGGATTAAAAGCTAGACATAGAAGTGTACTCCTCTCAGCATCATGATAATCATGACCAAAGCAAAAAAAATCCATGATGTTGAAAGAAAAGGCTGGACATGACTATCGCGTTGAATTTACCACTAGCTCTGGGTGGTTTAAACCAGTGGTTGCCAACCTTTCAGACCTCACGGACCACCAGTGGTCCACAGTCCACTGGTTGGCGACTGCTGGTTTAAATGATTAAGAATGGTTGTTCATTCCATAATGTGAAAGTGAGTGGTGAGTCTGCAAGTGCTGATGTGAAGGCAGCTGAAGAATTTTTGAAAATTCTAGATAAGCTGGTTGTGGAGGAAAGTGACTTTCCAGAGCAAATATTCAATATGGATGAAACCTCTCTGTTCTGGAAACGGATGCCTGAAAGGAGTTTCATCCATAGGAGACCAAGTCAGTGCCAGGTTTCAAGGCTTTTAAGGACAGGATAACAGTCTTGCTCGGGGCAGTGTCGCAGGCTGCAAAGGGAAACCCTGGATGATCTGGCACAGTGAGAACCCCAGTGCCCTCAAGCATATCAGTAAGCACACACTGCAAGCATACTACAGGGGCACTAAGAAGTCATAGATGACCCAGCTCTTCTTACAAGATATTCTCCTGAATTGCTGTGCCAGTGAAATGGAGAGGTACTGTTTAGAGAATAACATACCTTTCAAGATTTTGCTTATTGGACCTGGGATCCAAACCTTTTGTCTGTATTACATAGCATGCCAGCAGCAGGACTCTCCATGTGAGCTTCCATGGGTGGGGAGTACCAGTCCCTCTGCTGGCATGATGGGAAGGAGCTGAGTCCAAGCGTTGTGGTTGACTAGAATTGATTGCCTTATACCAAGCATGTCAGACTCAAAGGTAACACAGGCCAAATAACCAAGTTTTAAGTTTCTGTGGGCCGCAAAAAAACACACAAACAAAACCTTCAATTTTCATAGAAACGTAAGTTTATTTCGATGGAGACATGCTGAATACAAAGGGCTGAAATAAATGAGTCATCGTTAACATAAAATAATAGAACATTTTAGTAAAAATATTTTTTCTTGAACATTAACTTACCAGACACTGAATAACTGCACAAATTCATAAGCATAATGC